GCTCTCCCTCTTCATAATTCTTGGCAAAACACGCCTTAGGTAGACTTAAATTGAAGGCATCGGCGGTGAGAATTGCATTTAGAGCATTTTCCACTAGTAAATGTCCTCTGAATGCCCTTTGAACAGCTTTGCCGCTAAGCATGTGTCCCACCGTATTTGAAGCATACACACACTCTAAAAGTTCTTCAATACCAGAACCAGACATAATGCTGCCTATGCAACCAAGAAAACTCATTTCTGCGTGGAATCCTCCAAGACGAAGTATTATAGAGCGCAGTTCACTGTCTGGTGGTTCACTCTCTACGATAAGCTGCGCTTTCCACCACAAGGGTTGGTCGAATGTAATAATAGGCGTGGTATGTTGTCTTTTACATTGTGCTTCTACAAATTTAAGCGTTGAATATATACAGCTCATGTTTGTTGGATCCATGTCAATCATTGGTAAGAATGTAACAGAAGATTTTCCGGGATGGCTTCCTTTGCTTATAGTCTGCATTAATCCAGACCAATTTGGCTTGGGGGATCGAATTGGCCAAACTAAACTGCAGAGAAAGTCTAACTTCCAAGTTTTATTGACCTTAGAAAGACATGGCAGTTTCTCATAAACCAAAGGCACTTTGACATCATTAGCCGTCTTGTAATAGTGAATATCAATCTTTCCAATATTTGCTATCTCTGCAGCTGTGGTGGAACACCTCGGTATTGGAGAATCTGGATGCGTGGCCGGAGTAACAGCAGCTATTATCCCCATACCATGAAAAGTGTTCTGTCCGTCCAACGTACAGACATTGTGGTCTACATTATCTGCTACATATTGTACAAAGTGACCAGGGGTTAAACCAGGAATATCTGTGCCTTTTGTTTGCGCCGCACTCATTTCAAATTTCTTAACTTCAGTGTAAGAGGAGCAAAACCCATGACTATTCAAGGAATCAATTAAAAATTTGGATCCATAATGGTGGTGCATTTGGACTGCCAGGCCGATTTGAAGAGGAGCTATCAGGACCCTGGGCCGAGCGGCTTGAATAATGGCTTGCCCTATGGAAGCAATCTTTCGCTCTGCACTCTTTTCGTTAAATATTGTTCTCAGAAACAAATACAACGTTTCAGGTAGAAAAGCGCAGTTTTCATCCAAAGACGAAATCTCTCCAGGTAATGGATAAAAACGTTTAGAGATGTCCTTACTTTTGATGTCCGTTTTTATGAGATCAGCAGCTGCCTTAATCACTCTGATTTTATCGGCTTCAGGGTCAGCATCTCTAGAAGCGTCATAAAAATTTTGCAAGATGGTCGAAGCTGTACTCCTAAATGTTACGACATCAGCCTTACCATTGATACTAGCAATTACGATGTTTTCTCCAAAATGCTCTTTAAGTTTTTCTTTCATATACCGTGCGCTGTAAGGTTCTTGGTCGTTGAATTCTGCCATCTTATTCATAAGATCGTTCACAGTTATCTGCTCGTCATCGTTTTCCTTAAGATATTTTGCAACCTCCAAGAATGCCTCCTGCCTAGACTTATCAGTTGGCCTGCCTTTCTTTTGTCGTTTGCTTCCGTTAGTTTGATGAGAAAGCGGTACTTGCTTCCCCGTCCGAAAATTGGTACTGCAAACTTGGTGATAAATTGCACCTGCTGCAATGAGATCTTGGGAAAAAGATATTCTGCCATGCACTTTCTCAGCCCAACCGTCTCTTCGCTCCTCACAAATTCGGTTTAATGTGGTTTGAAAATCTAATGTTCTAACAGGAAAAACATCATGTCCTCTTTTGTTTCCCGTAAGTTTAGCAGGCTGGCTGCAAAATAAACATCGTTCACCAAAATCAAATGTTGGTTCACTGGAACGCAGGGTACGACTTGCACTAGAGGATGTTTCTTCATCAGCCGTATGTTTCTTTATGTAGGAACGAATAACCTTTACATGACAGTATTTCTGCCTGCATTTTTGATGTACACGCTGTCCTGCAAAAGTTTGGAGTGTGTCGCCACGTAGTTTACTTGCATTGTTGATGCCATCGCTTCCTTTTTGCCTAAGTTCCACTGTTTCGAGGCCATTGGTTGATAATTCCTTGCAAATTACACAATACTCCATCGTGTGATGTTAACCGGACGATAAACCACATCTTTAACCATCTATACTTTACCTTCACACGACATTTTTCACTAAAGTACCACTCTGGACGTCCAACAATGCGTTTCTACCAATACTCGTCTAAATAAATGTCTTGTGAAGCGAAGAACTTTGTTAGTTTGAAGGCCAGAGAATCGTCCAGAGCAGTTGTACGGAGCAAGAATTTTCCAAACCAAACAATCGAGAGTCTTTAGAGTCACTGATACACATATATACTTATTGATAGAGAACTAATTCAAGGAAAACTGTTGTTTTCCAGTTCTCGAAATAAAATTTCTTCGATGTGATCAAAAAGTTGTTCAAATCTTTACATTTAAACACGTGCACGCATTTTGTTTTCCAATTACGCCTATTGTTTTTAGCTCTTTGCTGTAAAAATTTACGCATATATTTTGAATAAATTGCGCGGCAGCCATTTTGAATTTAGAAAAAGAATTCAATCATAAAACTGTAATTTCATCATTTTATCCTTCGAAACGTTTGGTAGACTTTTGACATGTTATTTATAGGCATCAGTAGAATAACTTCCGGCAAAAATAAATTCTGTTGCAATTACTTCAAGGTTCGGTCTTTTTTTCTCGTAGAATGACTAGACTATTAATATTATACATGTGATCAAATGATCTAAAATGAAAAAACAAATGGACCAAAGCTTAAAGTTTGTTACCTTCATGTGGCTATGTCATGGGTATATTGAGCTTATTATAAAACTTATGAAGTATAACAAATTAAAATGTTCTTTATTAAAAGTGTAGTAAATAAATATTTTTTATTAAAAATGCTATGTTGTAATAATTTAGTCTGTTGCTTTTGTTGAAGTTATTCTGTCTCTTTGTCAGACTGTTACCCTCCGCCATGTCACGCACTTTGTTACTCTGTTACCTTGCTGCCCCGTCGGTGATTATTCCAAAAGATTAAAAGCGAGGATGTGAAGCGAGGTTTTCAGTGACTCTTTTGTTGGCGTCGCCCTTGTCTTATATGAAAACCATTTGACAAAACCAGGAGCCCATCAAATGATCATTTGCTGGGCTCCTGACAAAACATATGAATTGCATATGTAAAAATGTCGCATTCCAACATGTTGGTCTAACTTAGCCTAGCCTGAGTAGCTGGCGGGATTGTTATGCCCTGGTTACTTTCTTGGCGACGAAGCTGCGAAGGAAAATCCCTCGGGATTTCAATATGACTTGCCCCAACCCCCCCCCCCCCCCCCCAAAAAATAATAATTAAAAATAAAAATAATACAGCACTCGCACGCTAATCCTCGCAGCTGTTTAGGTTAAAAACAACAGAGAACAGTTGAACGATTTTTAAAAGCGTCAATTGCAATCAGTTTTAATCCTTATCTACAGTACAGTTTCCTTTTCCTGAACAAAGCATTCCAAGATATCGTCTGGCTGTTCATGCTTTTCTTCATTTAAAGTCTCTCTCTTTAACAGCCTGTTAAGGAATACAACAGATGATCCGAACACCATGATTCCTCCAGCTGTGTAAAAGGCAGGTCCGTACGCATGCGTAGTGTCAGCTATAAATCCTGTCGGAGAGTTAGGAAATGTTACTTACATTACTTACGTCAATGTTACCCATGTGCTGTAACTTGTTTGTAAATGCAAAAACATTAACCGACTACAGTACGTATTTCAAGGACGTAATCCAATACTACTATTGTCATTTCAGTCCGGTGTCCGCCTCACTAGTCCCTTTAATATTGAAGCAGTATCAGCACTGTATATAGTGCAAGAGTAAGACAAAGAGTACCAAAATTTAAAGTTTCCCAAGTGATCATGACGTGTGAATATCGTATGTTTAAAAGTGTTTGGAATAGCAGTTTTTGCACTTCTCTCAAATATTGTTTGTTGCACAGGAAGCCGAATTTTTTACCTGTTAAAAAATGTTAGTTTAGAGGCGGATATTGTCCGCCAAAATTAAGCTTCGATTAATGCCGTTGTTGTATACAAACTTCACGGGAAGGAAAGCCTTGTCTTGAGCGTGCAGGGCGAGGATACAAAGTGAGTTTTGCTTATTGAGTAAACGCTTGAAGGAGATATAACTTACCTGTTATAACAGGACCTATGGCACTAGAAAGACCCACAGAGAATGCGACAAAACCCCAAGCTTGGTCAGCTGACTTCTGTCCTACACATGTTAACACTATCAGTGGCATTAAACCGTATCTTCCACCATCCATGAGACCAAACATAACAGATAACACCACCACAGCTTTGTAAGATGTTGCCACGGGTAACAGAAGCAAGCAGACGCCAAGACATGTCGTTGAAAATTGATAAAGATCAAATATGTTGAAGAATTTGAATTCACTAAGCTTGCAGAACAAGTGGTTGCTAAAAAAGAAGGCGATCGCCATGTAGATGTATAGCATGGAGGCTCGTTGCCTTGAAATGCCAAGTTCACTCTCACAAAATTTCACCTAGAAAGAAAGACGGAAACAACCAATATTTTAGTAGTTGGCGATTATACAGATCTGACATATTTATAGAATATAGATGGTGAAAAGTCGATCATTTGCAGAAGAGTGCGTTACGTTAATCGTTGCAGTGACAGAAAAAGTCGCCATGAGGTGATCTAAGGATTAATATAGGGTTAGAGAATATATGGGGTATAGAGTGTTTTCACATGACGTCACGGCGGCCATATTGGTGTCCCAAGACAATGAAACGGCGGCCATGTTGGTGTCCCAAGCCAACCTTGTGCGAATTGAACTCTTTTCTTATGCAAACGCTTTCTTTTGTTCCAATAAATTTGCATAGATGCTGGCCACGTGAGTGAAAACACTCTATGTTTTAGAAAGATTACTACGTACGCGGGGGTATAATGGGAAGGAGGAAAAATTGTTAAATTGATTCTGAAAAACGGAGAATTAATATTTTTATTAAAACAAATTCTCTTCCTCCTCGAATTCCCCGTAAATCCATCGTATTGCGGGAAGGGGATCAACTCTAGATGACTGTTTCAGAGACGTGTATTTAAAGTTAGAATTGATTGTATAACAATAAAATTTAGTTAATTCACATCTTACCAGGAAAATTGATAGCGTAGGCACGGCAAAGAACACCAAGGTAACCGAGAAAAGATAAACGATGAAGTGCCCATTTCGCGAAAGGCTTGGTGAGTGAGTGGCTTCGAAACCTTGTTCGGATCCGTCATCATTTCTTTTGATGGTACCTACAGTAACATCCGATTTTGAGTCGTAAGAGTAGGCCAGTGGGATCGCCAGGAAAAACAAGATAGCCCAACCTCTGAGGGCGTTTTTGAATCCATAATTTGAAAGAAGAGCCTCGGTGATTTGCGTCACGACGAACATGCCTACACTTGATGACGACGCTGTTATTCCAACTACAAGAGAACGCCATTTCACAAAGTGTCCTAAAACAACTAGAACGCTGCAGTGGTAGGACATTGCTGAACCCAATCCTCCAATTACCGAGAATAAAATAAGGAAAAGCCAAATATTGTCCTCGAACGAGCTTACGCAAAAGCTGATCGAAATTATAAGACACCCACTTATGGCTGTGATTCTAAATCCGAGACGTTTAACCAGACGGTTTACCAATGGTCCAAAAACCCAGGAGAGTGCAATGTAGAGTGAACCGACCCAAGCTGAAAGAAATCATAATAAAAGTGTTACATATTAAGGTATATAGCTGATTCAGTTAAGGTTGCTTTGGGCGGTGGGAATTTGGCATTGGATAGCTATCGTTGGCAGACACTCAAGTAAATCATTGCCTTGTTCCACATGCCCAAATGTCCAATGCCCAGTTACCAATAACAAACTACCAAAGCAACCTTTTTTGATTTAGCTGTATGACCTTACTGTCCTTAGTCTCCCAGTCGCAGTAGCCCAGTGGATAGATCGGCTACCCGGTGATCGCAATCGGGAGGTAATGGTTACTTCAAAGATGTTAAACAGTCGAGACCGAATATTAATTTATAAATAGCTCTGACGGCGGGTATCAGTGTAGTTTTAAGAGCAACCTTGCTTTGTGTAAAAAAACCACGACTGATGAACGAAGTTTAAACTTTAAGTGTCTTAAATGAACACAGGTTTAAATCAGCTGAAAATTGGAAGAACTAAGTCAACATCCGAGAAGGCCTCCGGGTTTACAGTCCCATCTGCACTTTCTTTAGACCCTGTTTTCGACTCGACAAAGAACTGCAAAATGAGCGCTGATTTGCTTTTTTGACCCGTACAGTAAGTTATGGCCCGCTAAGGGAACGTATGTTTTTAATTGGGGTGGAGAAGGGGGGGGGGTAGACCGGGGCTTCAGAGGAGAGGGTCGCCAGCCGCATGCATTCCCTGCTAGCAGAGGTCTCTCACGACGAGGCAAAAATGAGAGACGGTCCTTTCTCTCATTTTTGCCTCGTCGTGAGAGACCTCTGCTAGCAGGGAACCGCATGCAAAGACCGAATTCCGTTAGGAACACCAACAGGATCCTACAGAAACATACACCACCGGAAATAATCAATTTGCACAAACAGAGCAGTTTCATGACCTCTCAAAGCGAGACTAATGCTCCATACACTGTTTAATCTATCCGCTGAGGAGAAAAGAGAGAAGAGAACTCATTGGTCACGTTCCTCACGTTTCACACTATCACGAGCTTATGAGTCGTGTTTTTGGCCTGTAAACACTTCATTTCCTGCTATTGTTTCTGGTTTGTTATGTAACTGATGACGTATTCTCTTGACCAGTATCCTCCAGTCCACATCCTCACTCACTCCCGCATGAGGAGCCGCATAAAGTCCCTTTACTAATTACGTTGAGTGACGGTTGCTATGCTCAATTTCCTGTTATAATTTTACCTCCGATCTCGTGCAGGTTAGCAGGGGTCCGACTGGCTGTCATCGATAGTGATTTTCACAGAGGCGATGAAACAATCCTAAATTTCGCAACTGTCTGGTAATATGGTTAAAACAGTATTAGCCGGGGTAAATATAGTCGAGCGCGGTCTATTCAACTATTCTCCGGATCGGATCATCCCGATCAAGCCATCATTGTATGGATTCTTTTTTACGGTATCCCGGTCGAGAATTTCTGTGTTGATTCAAACTCATTTCCCTTACAAGCTTGTTGGTATTTGAAAGAAAATTTTAACAGATCGAACAGGTTAGCAGAGTTCAAACTGAGATGGCCAGCCTTCCTTCGTCACATTGGTTCAGAAGCGAGGCCATTTCAGCCTTAAATCAGTAGGTTTACCTAGCGACACATTAATTCTGGTTTTTTTATGACTTGCTTAATCGTAAGACGCCTTGAAGGTAAGGACAATGTTCGATTCTTTTCCTTTAATTTATTTATTTCTGCCTCGAACATATCCGCGCCAAAACCTCCTAAATGCCCGCCAAATTTAATGTGGCGCGCTCGTGAGTGATCGTACAGTGTTTAGGAAGAAACAGACCCAGCGCAACTTCCACTGGAGGCAATTTTGTGTTACTGCAAGAAGTACCCTTATAAAAAAGTCGAGAAGCTTCTTTATTATTAATTTCGCGCTACGTTTTCTCTATAAACAATGGAATGTGTTGAAAATTGCAGACATCCGTGTTTCATAATACACGTACACACTTAGCGGCCAAATTGCCACATATTTTATCTTTTTACAGCTGTTTTGCTTGTTGCCGAAGTTTAAATGCTACATCATGATCCAGTGCGATTTATAGTTGTCGTTACATGCTCAGATCTTTAATTTGTTTGAATTAATGAGAAAATTATCTTGTAGTCTGTAATTATGCGTAGTATTGCATTGTTGCATGCGTTCACTGCCTATGAAAACAGTCGTTTTCCTAGTAGTATATCGGATAGGCCAACTGACTCCCACTGGTGGCAAATTGTGCTACAAAACCATAAATAAGGGATATTCGAAGTATAAACCTCACAAAAGCTTTTGATTTTGATCAACAACGAAATGAGTGACTAAAACGCGTTAAAAATAACACATGCTCGTGTTACCCATACCCCTACCGTCCTAAATGTACTTCACAGAGAAGGGTTGAGTGTTGCTCGTTATTTGTAAGTCTCTGAATCTTAGCAGCTTTCTTTTTCTTTTCTATAATTTTTACCGGGGAATCGAAATGAATTTTAGTTGATTGGTTGCGTCCATCGCCGTTCCCCCTATTTGTTTTTTTCAAAAAAACACCACTGCAAGAACGCGTACGGTCTCTATTATTTTTCATTAACAGCCAGAGAGCTTTAATTCACCGAAACTAAAACAGATTCATAAAATGTACATGGTTCAGGGTATTCTGTACGTGCCTTTTATGTTGGGTGTGTCGCCTGATTAAAAGCGAGCGATCGGGTGAGTCGCCTTCGCTTAGTGCAAGAAGACTTTGTAAAACGTGTATATTTAATGAATCTTTCTGTAAAGAACGAGGCGGCCAAGGAAGCTTGAAAAATAGTTTTTGAAACGTCTTGCCAAATATGTTTTTATTTTGTTTGGGGATTGCTAAAATTGCGTTTCAACTAGACGCTGTAAAATTCGCAATTGAACTTATTCTTCGGATTCAAAACAATGACCAAAGTTCCGTCTGCACGTGCTCTTTTGGGTGAGTCGCCTGAAAAAGCAAGCGATCGGGTGTGTCGCCTTCGCTTAATGCAAGGGAACTTGGTTTTTATTGGTTATGGCTCGCAAGTCCGTTTTGAACGAAATAAATGGTTTCAGTCATAATTAATGAACATCATATAGGTGACCTTACAAGTTTGTATTATAAGAAGAATATAAGAGCCTTTTTACGCCGCGAACAGGATGAAATAGAAAACTTCACCGGCCTTTTCTCAAAAAAAGGGAATAGTCCCGATTTAAATTCTGCTCCCCAGAAAAAGCTACAGTGAAAATTATTTAAATTTATACTTTAAATTCAATCAAATTTATTTAAATCGCTGTAGTTCGTTCATTTGTGGTAAATAAATGCATGTTGATTCTGAGGTATCCCCGGTTAAATAATTTGTGCAAAACTCCTCTACACCGCCGCAAGTTTTCCGAGTGGTGCGCTGTTTCGGAGTGATTTTTACTTCACCAGGTTCTTTTCTTTAGTTGTTTTCGTCTCATCAGCTCAGTTTTATTATTTCTGTAGTGTCTGCAAAAATGATCCGTTGAAAGATATGTCGAATAAAGCTTCAGTAGGAGGTCACGAAAGGAGATTCCCATTTCACCTCAAGTATGGTTTCAAGCTGTCAACGGTCTATGCTTGGCTGAATTTAAACAATGGCTTCCTGGTCAGATGGGGGACAAATTTTCCCCCATATTTCGGTCGCTAAAGCTTGCGGCTCGCCAGAGCGAGCGTTCAACCACAGGGCACCCACACAATGCTTGTGTGTAACCACAGGCATCCCAAGCTGACGTTACGAGTGTGTTATGTATATTTCCTCACAAGAGAATAGGTGTCTCGTTTACAAGCGACCGTTGAGACTTTGTATGAGAAATAAATTACTGAGGTCTTCGAACGCTAAAAATCATTTTATTTTTACTTTTTTTCTATAAAATAAATAAAAGAGACTTACCTTTGATATATTCCTGTGTTTTTTGGTGTGAATTCATCGATTTAGTTGGTTTTTTGGCTGTTATTGTGTGACCCCTGTCAAAGAATGACAGGGTCACATATAAATAACAGCCAAAAAACCCACTCGTAAGGTGAGTTTGGATCCCTGTGGTGTAAGCGATTGTTATTTTATAGTAAATGAACTGGATTTACCGTTTGCTTCACCTTTTATACCTTACCTGTGGTATATGGTCGTCCTTTTGCCTCAAAAGCGGTTTTTTAAGCGATTTTCAAGGATTTTTAGTTAATAGGAACGGTAAACGGCGAACTCAAAATCCTTCAAAATCGCACAAAAAAACGCTTTTGAGGCAAAAGGGCGACAATATACCACAGGTAAAGTAATTTTTTCTGAAAGTGAAAAAAGAATGCGATTTTTGTTCAGTAGTTCCCAGCTGACATAAACCCACAGAGATTAATTTAGTTGACTGCTAACTCGAAGTAATTTTTGTTTCCCTTCAGATCCATGTTATAAGCGTGTGACGAGTCAAATCAATCTTGTGGCTTCGAATTCCCTATAACTCGAACTTTTTCCGATTTCCCAAGAAGGTTCGCGTTATCGGGAGTTGACCATGTTTAGACTGTACTTAGAGTACAAAACAAATCAAATCAATCGTGCCCTCTTGACAGACTCACACGAAATTATATACCCTGTTTAGGATAGATTCACATATGTTTGTCTCAAAGGCGACTGTTAAAAGGCAATAAATCAAGCTTAAAAATTGTACTCCAAATGTTGGGAGAAAGAAATTGAAACAAAAAAATTTAACTAGTCAGCTTGAGAATTTAAGAATTTGGAATTCCCTGAACTCTTACGTTTTCAGTTGAAAAACAAAGACAAATACAAAAACATTTATATATCCCTGCTTAGCTGGTTATGTTATATCATGATATAGCTGAACAAAAGATTACCGGTTATCGCAATGCGCTGCCTGAAATGTCGCAACAGAGAAGGCAAGAACAGTCCAAAGCTATAGTAGCTTCCATTGTTCAGCGTCATAATTACAAACGCAGCGAAACAAACAAACCAAGACCAGGGACTATCCATTCGTCGTCTCAGATCAGCCATACTCGCGGGAGATCGCCACGTAGCTATAGAAAGCGAAATTCAACTCCAAAAAAACAAAAAAAATCGAAAACGTATCATGTTGTTGAAAATCAATTAATTCAAACTAAATCAATAGACTTCTTTTTTGGTTTTTGATAAAAATAGCTAGCGGTAAAAAAACGTTTAACATGTATTTGTTTGGGGATAAAGATTTTTTTACGAGGATTTCCCAGCTATTTTATTAAACTTGTGATCAATAGATACTTCCTGCTATCATGAATTCGCTGCGAAACAGGTGACTGATTTGTTCTTACACGTTAAAAAATGTTTTACACGTAAAGATATTCAAGTTTAAGCTTTAACCTTACCCTGATCTCTTCATGTAGATTTTCAACACAATTTTCCCGTGTTTTCAGCGTATTCATGCTATATATCGAATACACATCTTAAAAGAAAAGTATTTTTACTGATCATGGCTTATTTAATGTCTTCTGGTTTTCAGATGTGTGTTTTAAATGAAGAAATTTTTTAGTTGTGACTTTTACAGGCGTCCACGTGTTATAACATTAAATTGTCCTTTGGATTTTCTGGTCACGCTCGCAATCGATTTATGGAAAAGCTTAATATGATCACACCTCTACAGGGTGTCCCAAAAGTTCGTTCCTCTAATTTCATGCACTATAACTTTTGATCAAAACTTTATTTTACGTGAAATTTCTAGAAGATGTTTATTTCTCTGTCAAGTACATGTGTTCAGAATTTCAGTAACTGGCATGCCCTTTTTGTTTTTTATCACATTCTGTAGCCGTTGCGGCATGTAGTGGCACAGAGCCTGTAGACCAACAAATGATCCATTTTGACCTTTTTTATCACCTGGTGCGCAGGATCCAGTTCAACCCCCAAACAATACTTGTTTAGTTTAGGCAGCTGAAAAAAATTTATTTTGGGCATTCATCCAAAAAAGATAGTCAGCAAGGCTTTTGTAATTCTTTACAGATTTGAAACGAGCTGGGCGTTAATTCAGTATCACCCCCATCTCAGGGACCTCTAATTTTAAACATTTCAAACAGCTTGTCATGACCCTTTTATTTGGCTTGCTGAGACTGAGCTTCCTTGTCGAGTCTCCTATTTTGCATCTAGCCTTCTTTAAAACTATTTTAGCTGCTTTATTCAGGGCTTTTGGTCTTACCCTTAGTTTCTTGCCTTCAAAACCTTCATTTCTCCATGATCATTCTACCACCCAACGTTCGGATTTTTCCGGTTTTTTAGCAGCTTCTACAACAGATAAGCCAGTAAATCGAAGTATACAGGCTTATGCTCTCACGCAGCACAACGTTTTTGCGCTAAGGGGGTTAATCTTTCGTGATATTCACAAAAAACAAGGAAGGAGTTCGAGCGATTCGGGCTATGAAATACAAAAAATGTGTGGCTGGAAAATATACTCGCGCACGCGCACCTTTGGCGCAATAGTGAATTATATTGAAAGACACAACTTTTGTTGAAATGATTTGCTTACCAAGTCCAATGGTTCTTAAACACAGACCTATAAAGTAGAGGAACGAACTTTGGGACCCCCTGTAGTATTGAGCTACTTGTTATGGTTTTGTAACAGACATTTTGGTAAAAAGTTTTCGGAGGCTAGGGTTATTTTTTTAATTATGAATACCAGTTGATGTTTTGAGAGTGAGGAATTGATCATCGCAGTAAGAAGCCTGAAAAAAAAATGTTTTGGTTTTGTTAATGTTATACTTTTTTATACTTGCTCACCTTGTTTTATATTGACTAATAATAACTACAATAATAATACTAATAATAAAATAATCTTTATAAAGGGAACTCCCATCACATAAAGTGGTTTTCAGGGTCCTCTGATCATGACCAAGATTAAATAATATTAAAACTACTAATAACAATCAAATCTAAAAAACTAGTGGTTATAAAATTAAGGCTGGTTTTCACTAGCGACGGAGTCGGAGTCGGAGTCGGAGTCGTAAGCGGGGTCGTAAGAGCCCTTATGACCTAGTGAAAATCAAAAATCGGAGTCGTAAGCGGAGTCATTAGCTCGACGGAATCGGAGTCAGAAGAATCAGAACGTTTCCATTTTCTTCCGACTCCGCTTACGACTCCGTCGCCTACGTTCCGCTTATGATCTAATGAAAACCAGATTGTCGGAGTCCGCAGCAGAAGCGGAAGGATAAGCCAATCAGAATGCACGTTCCCACGCTTTGTGGTTGGTTTGGTTCTTCTACTTCTGCTTCCGACTCCAACGATCTGTTTTTCACTAGATCATAAGCGGAACGTAGCGAAGGAGTCGAGTAAACGGAATCGGAACGCTGTTTTCACTAGATCATAAGCTCGACAACGCTTCTGATTACGACTCCGACTCCGACTCCGTCGCTAGTGAAAACCAGCCTTAAAAAGGCTAGACGGCTAATTTTGCTTACGACTCCGTCGCTTACGTTCCACTTATGATCTAGTGAAAACCAGATTGTCGGAGTCCGAAGCAGAAGTAGAAGAACCAAACCAATCACAAAGCGTGGGAACGTGCATTCTGATTGGCTTATCCTTCCGCTTCTGCTTCCGACTCCGACAATCTGGTTTTCACTAAATCATAAGCGGAACGTAAGCGACGGAGCCTCACACAGGTCTCGCTCTCTATTTTCAGCCTCGTTCCAGACCTTTTGTTTGACTGCTCGCGCTTTGCGTACTTGAATACGCAAAAATACAGACTGTTTTGAAGTCTATATTTAAAATATCATGTTCTAATTATTTGATCTGCTGCTTTCGTAGCTCTGTTGCTCTATTGCATAGTTAAACCATTTTAGTCTCAGTTTAACTATAGTACGGTTTCTTTTTCTTGAACGAAGAATTCCAAAAACTTGTGTTGCTCTTCATGCGCTTCTTCAACTAAATTCTCTTTCTTCAACAACCTGTTAACGAATACAACAGTTGATCCGAAAACCATGATTCCCCCAGCAGTGTAAAAGGCAGGTCCGTACTCGTGGGCAGTATCAGCTATGAAACCTGTGGGAGAGTTTGGAAATGTTAGAGACCTTTAGATTCAAGAAAGAGGACGATTACGAGTACGAGATTTGACTTTAAGTTTTTTCGCCTATTCTGAAAATATGGACTCCCCGGAGAGCTTCATTTTACCATTTTTCACTGGAAAACTTAGCACTGTTATCTTTAGTGAAGGAGGTTACACCCTCTCCCGATCGCAAATTGATAAAACTTCTAACATTTGACAACTTGTTCCCGCCACTACGACATTTTCGCTAAAACCCGTAGTAGAGTGACGACGGCTACCACGTTTTCCCGCCAGAATGACGCTGGCTCACGCGCTTACACTACGTAGTATTGAGAAAATGTCGTACTCGTTGTCATACTCGTCTTAGAATTCTAAAGCGCTCTATTAACTTTCAGAACCTGTTTTTCTTGTGCTTATAGTTATGTCAATGTTGCTAAGTGAGAACGTGCTTTACGTAAGAACAGTCGAGGCCTCCCGTAAGCAACCACCCAAAATGGAAAGACTGAGTGGTCGCTTACGGGAGGTGGTCTCTTGCAAAAATCGAACCAAAAGGGGTCTCTTCTGAGAAGATAATTTATTGCATGCAATGTCTGAGTTAGGATATTTGTTGTTCAATGTTGTCGCTAAGGCTCTTCGATATTCTAAGTACCATAGTGCACACAGCGCAAATAGAGATTAGCGAAAGTGTCAAGTGGTGGCTTACAAAAGGCTAAAACCTGGAAAATCATTAATCTTCAGGCCCAAAAAGTGGTAGCGGTGTTCAAAAGTGTTTGGAATCTAAGCAGCGTCGGCGTTTCGCTGCTATGTTATCATAGATCGTTTTTTTGCATAAGAAGACAAATTTTGTAGTTGCGTAAAGAAATTCGATTCAAAAATTGTCCTTAAATATTAGCTATCGGTTGCTGCCGTTGTTGTATAGTGAAAACCTTACGGAAAGAATGTCTGTCCTTGCAGGTGCGGACACAGTTACAAGGTGAGTTTTGCTTATTAGTAAACTCTTGAACGAAATATAACTTACCTATAAAAACTGGACCTATGACACTAGAAAGACCGATAAAAAGTGTAAGATAGCCCCAAGCTTGGTCAATTCTCTTCTGGCCGACACATGTTAACACTATCAGTGGCATTAAGCCGTATCGTCCACCATCCATGAGACCAAACATAACAGATAACACCACCACAGCTTTGTAAGATGTTGCCACGGGTAACAGAAACAAGCAGACGCCGAGACATGTCGTTGAAAATTGATAAAGATCAAAGATGTTGATGAATTTGAATTCACTTAGCTTGCAGAACAAGTGGTTGCTAAAGAAGTAAGAGATGGCCATGTAGGTGTATAGCATGGAGCCTCGTTCTGACGAGATGCCAAGTTCACTTTCACAAAATTTCACCTACAAGGGCAAAAACAACCAAATATTTCAGTAACTGGCGATTATATACCACTTATTAACAGAGAGTGAGGTCGTTACAGGCCGAAATCTCAGATATTGACCCAGCGATAGCAGTCAATATAGTCAATATACGTTAGGGCTTGGCTTATTCCCACCCTACACCTTCCAACCCTAAGCGCCAGTCTTCTCTGGTAACATAAATGTTTTCTAACTTAAGTAGCCTTAACGTTGCAGTTTTATAAAAAGTTTTCAGGCCGTGATGTAAGGGTAACGGGGTAAAAGGGTTAGAGAATATTAGGGCAATTGTTACAAAGCTTACAGGGATATGACGCCGGCAATTATCTCTTACTCCTCGAGTTCCTATAGTCCCCTTTATATTGCGGGGTGGGAACCAAGGACCATATTCTAGGTAATTGTTACAGGAAAGTGTCTTTAGAGAAGGGATTAATGATCGTGTTATTTGTATAAAAATATTCAGTAAAGTTAAATCACAACTTACTAGGAAAATTGACAGCGTATACACGACAAAGAACACCGGGGTAACGGAGACAAGATAGATGATGAAACGTCCATTTTGTAAAAGGCTTGGTGCAGGAATGACCTTGACATTTTTCTCGGATCCTACTTCAATTCTTTTGACGTTACCTACGGTAACATCCGATTTTGCGTCATAAGAGAACGCCAGTGGGGTTGCCAAGAAAAACAAAATGGCCCACCCTCTAAGGGCATTTTTAAATCCATAATTTGAAATGAGAACCTCTGTGAGTTGTGTCACGACGAACATGCCTACACTTGATGACGAGGCTGTTATTCCAACAGCAAGAGAACGCCACTTCACAAAGTGCCTCAGAACAACTAGAACACTGCAGTGGTAGCACATTGCTGAGCCCAGTCCTCCAGTTACCGAGAATAAAACAAGGAAAAACCAAAAATTGTCCACAAACGAGCTTGCACAAAAGCTGATCGAGATTATGAGACAACCACTTATGGCTGTGATTCTAAATCCGAAACGTTTCATCAGGCGGGTTACCAATGGTCCAAAAATCCAGGGAAGTGACATGTAGAGTGAACCAATCCAAGCTAAAAAAATATCAAAACAGAAGTAAAGTCAATAATCAGAGCTCTGTTTACTTCAACGATGTTAAATAAACAGTAAAGGCTTGCTGCAAACGAGCTTGCGCAAAATTTTCACCAGGTTATAGGTCACCCAGTAAATCCGAAACGTTGTATCAGGCTGGTTAATTATCAGATGGTCCAAAAATCCTGGCGAGTCGTTAGTGCCTTAACGACTGTGTAGAGTGAACTGTTTCACTGGTTAGTTGCGCCCAATTTTACGATAAAGCTAACTGCTTTCGTGAGTCTAACATGGTCACTGTGGTTTGACTCACTGCCGCGGATCTCGTTAAGACTACATGTTCTACATTCCGAACGGTTACTAGAGAATTTCTATGGAAAAACTCACCGTTTTTCTACGATCTGGCCAGCCGTTTTTATAGAATTTTTGCATCATTTCCACTGCACACTGGCCTACTTTGTCAGTATCACTGGGGAGTTCGTTAAGAGATGAAATACTTTTAGGGGATTAACATGAGTCTTTCTGTTTAAAAAAGAGGGGATAAAAGTTAGGAATGCTGTCAAGCATGAAGTCCTAGCGGAATCCGTACCTGTGAGTCAAGTAATTTCAAATGCTCCTTAACCTCACGAAAATTAAAGGCCTAGTTCATACGTCGTGCTTCTGCTCTGCCGGCCTTAATTCTTATTTCGGAGCGTCCGCGCACTCGCAGCGAAGCCCCATAGCTAAAGCAAATGAAAACCTATCGATGCTAGAAAGTTTGTTATCACGTCAGTATTTCCCCTGGGGTAGGGGTAAAAAAACTCAGAAGGGTAGGAAAGGGAGTCCCAGACATTTACGTTGTGTTTCGATTTGGCGCATTTTAGAGGTAACTAATTTTCGAGTACCTAAGAGTTGCAATTTGAAAGTAAGTGCTGGCGTCAGCCCTCGAAGACAATACGGAGAATGCAGTTTGAAAATAAATAAAGTAAAGAAAATGAAAATGGCTCCTGGGAATTAGGGTGGGTAAGCCTTTTTGAAAGAAAGATATGTTATTTCCGTGTATTTGTGATGTATAAAAGGGGAAAGCCCATCGAGTAAATTCCAGGCAAGCCAGAGTGCTTTCTCGTACACTCGTCTTATTCAAGTCCCCGGATGTACAATCACACGGTAGGCAGACTAACATAGACCTTAACTTGTTTTCACTCCAGAAAAAACACTGGGTCAAATTTTACCTGCAATGTTGCTCTCGCCTTATTTATTTGACCCCCAAGAGCCTGTTTCCGAGGCCAAAGACTTAGTCGTCACCTTAGAAAAGCGAACAATGTCGTATCTTTTTGTTTCAGCCCGGATCAGGGTAGTTGATCCGCCGGTTTAACCAAATGAAACGAGAATACAATACGATATTGGACGATGCAGACTCTGCGAATAGCTTTGTCCCATCTCAGAGCTTTACATGATGCTCTCCGGGAAACTTTAATTTCTCAAGGTGACCAATAGCCTCCCCGCAGACGTCCTTTGGGGTTCGTTCGTCACGCATTCATTTCTCCCCCAAATGAATGCGTGACGAACGAACCCCAAAGGACATCTGCGGGAAGGCTAGGTGACCAATAACGAAATGTTAACTGCTAAGGAGCGCACTAATATCAAATACGGATTTTTTTTCTGGTCCCAGTCAAAATTTGAAAAAACCGAGGATATAGGGTTTATTCTGTTCGACAAAAACACGGCAGAAGCACGACGTCTGAATCAAAGTTTTGAACAGTTTGGTTCGGCAGAGCAATCAAGTTCGACAACGTCTGCCGCGCTACACGATTCTGACACATGACTGATTCAAACGTTGGGCTTATGTTGTGACGACCTAATTTCCAGTAAATTTTGAGACTCAAGCTATTTTCGAAAATTTATAAATATGATCCAAACGTCTGAATTTAAGTCCCCCTTCTGTTGAACCCAATTACAATAAGAACAGCAAGGCAGAAGTATATTAAACAATAAAAATGCAGGCAATGTAAATTTTCTGCCTTGATCTAGTTTACTCTCACCCACTTTGGTTTATGCTTAAAATTAAGAGGATTTCTTAAGTGGTTACAGTATGATTAGTTAACTAAGGGATATTTTATTGGGATGTAATGTCAGGTATATATCACGAATATTCACCTATTACTAGTTGTTTAGAATACCTTTACAAGTTCGATGTATAAAAATATTCATCAACATAAACCTTTTCCTATCATGAATTCGTTCTTAAACAAATATGTTCTATTTTGGTACACTTTCGCGACTTCCACGACAACCCTTTTATCGTAAAAGAATGTTCAATTAAGTTCCCAAAAAGGAACAAAGCCTTATTTACACTAAGAATTACACAATTTGACATTTTTGTCCTCAACTTCACCTTTTATCAGTCTTTTCCAGGAAAAGACTAGCGTCTTTATTTTTTAACCATTTTTAGAGTTATTTTCTCGCACTCTCAACCGAGTTCATGTCAGTCGATAGTTTCTAAGTAAAATATATAATATATTCAAATTAAAAAGAGCGAGATATCTCCTATTTTTGTAGGTGTTTACTGAGTAAATATCCATTGTTATAATTTCTACTTTTGACCACAAACTGTATTTCTAATTAGGATGCTCGATTTTGCGAACACATCATCAGTTAATTGGAAACGTTTAACCAATCATTTTCCGGCAAGAAGCATCACACCTCCTGTAAATCGAGAACAAGCCAGGATTTTCAAGCTGTAATTTTAGTAATTTCTAATCTGTTGACATGAAAAGTTTGTTTACAGGAAGCTACCTTGTAGTTTATATATTGTTCTCCTTGTTTTATATTGGCCAGATGACTTAAGCTTAGACTACGAGTAGTCCCCATTTTTCCTCAGGGATAGTAGAGCGAGCGAAACGCAAGCGCGCGTGAAAATCACCCCACACTCCCCGCCGCGTGTCGCCTTTTCTCGCGTGGGGTGATTTTCACGCGCGCTCGCGTTTCGCTCGCTCTACTATCCCTGAGGAAAAATGGGGACTACTCGAAGTCTAAACTTCGGTTGAAGAGCCATTTCGACAAAGCAATTATCTCGAGGGTTTCATCAGATGCTAATGAGACTGTTTCGGATTAGACTTACGTCAACATTCGGTTTGCACTAAACACGGCTGGTTTCCTGGCTGATATAAACATGGGTGTGTGTAACACTGATTTAGCAGAGAATTGTAACTCACAAGCAGCAAGTGAATAAAAGTTCTGAGTCAAAGAAGTTGTATTGGTTTTGTTGAAAGGCTTCAGCTAGTCCCCGTCATAAAAAAGTATTTCAACAAGTACGAATCATAAATGTATTAGGCCTTAGTCGCCAGCATGATTTCAAACCATTGATCCCTCCAATATTTTTTAATCTGTTTAACTCTAGACTTTTCCAGGCGTTTAGATAGAGGACAGAGAGTGAAAAATAGAGCGAGCAAAAAAAAGAGAGGGAATATTGTAGAAAGAGGCGAAGAAATGTCAGGCATAATTTATTACATTTTGAAGCCAGAGCGAATATATTTATGAATAATATTGAAATTGAACTTCTTGAATTATTAGGCTAAATTATTTGACTTAGAACGAACGGTGTGTAATAGTTGCGTAGTTGGCTTACAGAACAAGGCAATGTTTATTGCACACACTGGTTAAACACATTCGTCATCGGCTTCCTTTTCTTCTTTACAATTATAACAATTAGCGCGTTTTTAGTGCTTGCACATGTAGGGCAGAATCCCGGGGGGAGGTACTCCCTTATAAGGGCTTAATGGGGACGTGCGGCCAGCCAGGGTATGTTTTTCGGGATTTTTGCCCTAAACAGGGTACCGAATTTATCATTTTTTGTCTTAATTAGGGTATCGATTTATCAATTTTTGTCTTAAACAGGATAAATGTCTTAAACAGGGTATCAAAAATCGGAGTTCTGTCTTAAACAGGGTAGGAACATCAGCGATATTTGTCTTAAACAGGGTCAAGGTATGAGGGACCCCGCTGCACCTCCCCACCTAGGGATATATCGAGTACCCCCCCGGGGTCAGAATGGAAATTCTTTTGCTTGGTTTCCTTGAAGCGAGGAATATTCATGAACCGCTTACTGGTTTAAGCTTCGCTCGCGTTACATGTATTATTTGTGGAATAGAAATTGTTTCTAGTGGGTGGCTTTTAACTACATTATAGTGAGCCGGAGTAATCAAATAAATCAGTGTTTCAGTTCGCTCCTTAAAAATTTACTGCGTTTACTGCTCAGAACCCGTAGCCGGTTGTAACAAACGCTTACCAGTTATCGCAATGGGCTGCCTGAAATGTTTCAGCAGAGATGGCAAAAACAGTCCAAAGCTATAGTAGCTGCCATTATGGAACGTCAGAGTTATAAAAGCGGCGAAACAAATAAACCAAGACCAGGGGCTATCCATTCTTTTCCTCGAATCAGCCATAATATTGACAATCATCTGCTGAGACGTTCTTAGGTCGCCACGCGATTATTGACAACCAAAAGGGTAGCAACATTCAATATTTCCAAATCTATAATTCACAGGTCTGCATTCATAATCAAGGATGATCCTGATTTCTTTTGCCCGCACCATTAGGGTTATTTTCCTTCCAAACAAATGTTGTCCAGTGGGATCGATGTTCAACATCCACCAAGAGGTTCTGTTCAGCAGAAACTTTCATCCTAAGACAATGTTTACGAACAAGTGAAAGCGGTGCGGGTTATATAATTAACATGACAGGTGAAAGGACAGTCAAACCCCCCTTTGGCAAAACCCCGTGACCAATAGCCTCCCAAGCAGGCGTTTTTAGGGGAGCCTGTACTGTCGCAATTTGTAATAATCATCGCACTTTGTAATACCTGTCGCAATTTGTAATAAATCCATCGCACTTTGTAATACCTGTCGCAATTTGTAATAAACCGTGTCGCACTTTGTAATAAAAAAGCTGTCGCAATTTGTAAAAACTGTCCATCGCACTTTGTAATAAAGTAAGCTGTCGCAATTTGTAATAATTCCATCGCACTTTGTAATACCTTTTTGAGAGTAATCAAAGTTACTTCGTCAACATTAATATAATGCCAAAATATGCATGGTACTTCATAAACAAAGATGATGACGTCTGCTACCACGTAACATCTCCGTAACATTTACTTTGGTCAAACATGCATGTCTTACGCTATAAATTTTTCTGCCTTGATTAATCACGTGACCAACTAGAAACGCTTTTATGAAAGACATGAAACTTCCTGTGACATATCACCAAAAAGAGATGAATCATGTTTAAATTAAAAAATATTTAAATAACTGAAGCAACATTTAACAACAGAAAATTCACGAATAACCTGGCATTCATAGTCCAAATCCATGTTTGCTTGCCAAGTGACACGTGAAGTCTTCAGGGGGGAGGGGGGGATATAATCCCATATATGGATGGGCTAGATAGGTAAGTACCGCATGATAGGGTATGGTTCTTGAACATTTTGAATCTTTCCAGGCCTCGTTTGATTAATTTGGCCAAAATATGGAAGCCACTACTACTTCTTTAAGATTGCGCGTTAGACAAGGACGGTGCACCACGTTTTGTGTCGACTTGTTGTAAGATCTAACAAGGAAAGCTTGAAATCTCCTGGTGTCCTTATTCGAATGACGTAGGATGGATCTTACGATTTGCGGAAATTAAATGCTTTTTAATAATGGCTCGTTTGTGTCTAGTGTGTCTAGATTTTGTACTCTGACAACGCTCTGTCCAGAGGCACATCCCCGTATTGGCCATATAAGGAAGTACACCCGCCGGGTAACCATTGAATGAAAACCACCTAGTACAATAGCAAGGTTTAAGAATACAGCATTTCGTAAGTCAGATAACTAATCAACATTAACCTAAAAAAAATGTTTAGGACGGTGAATAAAGTTAAATGTTTGAATGAGCGGAGATGTTACGTGCTAGCTGACGTCATCATCTTTGTTTATGAAGTACCATGCATATTTTGGCATTATATTAATGTTGACGAAGTAAGTTTGATTACTCTCAAAAAGGTATTACAAAGTGCGATGGAATTATTACAAATTGCGACAGCTTACTTTATTACAAAGTGCGATGGACAGATGTTACAAATTGCGACAGCTTTTTTATTACAAAGTGCGACACGGTTTATCACAAATTGCGACAGGTATTACAAAGTGCGATGGATTTATTACAAATTGCGACAGGTATTACAAAGTGCGATGATTATTACAAATTGCGACAGTACAGAGCCTGTATTTTGTCCCTGTGGGAATGGACGGTTCAAACGTCGAACTTTAATTATTAGGTTGGGCACATGTTGTGTTCGACATATGAATCAATTCAGGAACGGCACTTTTGTATTTGGGTCGACTCTGCCGTTCTATTCGACTGAGCTTGTCAAATAGAACGGCGAAAGATCGACTTCGATTCATACGTCGAACTTCACATGTGCCGAACCCCTGGATAGTGATTTATACGGTGGATAAAGCAATCCATCGTTTGAACAACCGTAGCCTGCGCGCAGACGAAATTAAACTCTGGTTAACTCCGTCTGCGAAACAGTGCCGAAATCCTTGTTCTGGACTTCCAGCTGTGTACCCAGATTTGAGTACGCACCACGATTGGCCTGTTAAAAAAGACCTTTGTTTTGTTTGTCGCAAGACTGGTAATACCCAATCAGGTTGAAGGGAAATTCGAAACGCACTTCCGGTAATTCGTTGAGTCGGTTCGGGGTCCAGAACAAGGATCTCTGTGCTGCTTCGCAGACGGCACTAATCAGAATTTAGTTATCGTCTGCACGCAGGCTAGAGCAACCGGGGCTTGGTATAAAACCTCAGTACTAATGACTGGCCTTTGGAAAAAAAGACAAGTGCATGCGGTAGATGCTTTCTTAGGGTGTTTTCCTTTCGGTGAATCCAAAAGCGGATTTTAGATCTTAAAACGGATTTCGCGTTCCTTTCGGCAAATCGAAATCCGGATTTTTGATCTGGTGAATTCTTTTTGAAAAAGGATTCATTGGATTTGAAATCCAAAGAATCCGAATCCAGATTAACGGATTAGTGATCTACGCTGTTCCATTCACAGTGGATCCGAAATTTGTCAGATGATCCCACAGCGGTATTTCCAGTTAAAGTATTCCCGTAGAGTTTCCAAGTTGCTGCCATTTGTCGCAAAACATCTGAGAACACTGAAGATTGTTCCCGGTACAGTAAAATATCCATTTGCTAACCATTTGCTGCTGAAGATTGCTTAAAAACACAAATAAGTAAAATTTAAAGGGATAAATGAACTGCCATCTTTCTACAAACTCACTTGTAGACACGATAGGCACTCGATCGTGTTACATTAAATCCGAGCTACGAAACTGGATCAAACTAAGCCAACAACCTTAAGATAGTTTTCAACCTTAACGCACTTCTTTCTTGATCTGTTTATGTTCCATCGTCGCTATTCGAACTGCCGACCACAAATTTCTGCACGGTAAAATCGCATAATTTATCAAACAGAAAACACGTCATTTCTCGAGAGGCTATCATGTATATTGCACTCGTTTGCGAAAGGTTACCAAGTACTACTTGATACTTAATGAAAGGTTGCTAATGATAGTGACTCCAAATAACTTACGATGTGCTTGGTACAACTTCAAGGATATTGCCATCTACCACCACGGTTGGTTTGAACCCTACTTTGTTCTAAGCGAAAGATATAGTACGTAATTCCCTACATTTGTCACTGTTAAACGGAAACTTATTCTCCCTGCACCAGTTCTCTACGCAGTTCACTATTTCTTGAACATTGGTAGCTTGCCAATCAATCAATCAATCAATCAATCAATCAATTAATCAATCTTTATTCCTCTCAAGATAAAAAGACATTCAAGTTACATCAGCAGTTGGAAGTCTAAATTTACATAAGACATACTGTATACAAATAACAGAAAGATTAGCCTGCGAGCAAGCTCTCCTATTTGGGCGAGTGAAGTGAGTCTCGCTTGAGAACGCAGGCTACAGAAAGATCAAAGATTATATCTAAAAATAAACCTGTTTACATAAACACTCTTAAATCTATCGGTCTTTATCTCCGTGAGCGAGGGGGAATGATGTTAGGGCAGGGAACGTACCTTGAAAAGGATGTCCATTCTCTTAGATGTGTATTTCTTTTTAAAGCATCTATTCATAAAGTTTGGTATGACCCTGAGATCTGAGTCTACAGCCGGCGCCATAAACAGGCAGACCATAAGTGAAATTCGGTAAAACTAAGGCGCTAAATAGGTGGTCTACTTCACCTTATCTGAAACCTTCCTCCCGTAAAGATCATGATTAACGCTGTCGAACGCTTAACTGAAATCCAAGATGAACGGTGGGGACCCCCCCGGCTAAGGGCTGGCAGGGGGCCAACAGGTGACCGTTTCAAGAAGGTTTCCGAAATAAGGGAATTGATTGCATTTGTTTTATGTGAATAACAGTTCATTTAAGTTAAATCACATCTCACCAGGAAAAATGACAGCGTATATACCACAGAGAACACCAAGGTAACGGAGACAAGATAGATAATAAAAAGTCCATTACGCAAAACCCTTGGTGCGGGAATGACCTCAACATTCTGCGCAGATTCTTCTTCGTTTCTTTCGATAGTCATACGGTAGCATTCGATCTAGAGTCGTAAGAACACGTCAGTGGCGTTGCCAAGAAAAACAATAGTACCCACCCTCTAAGGGCATTTTTAAATTCATAATTTGAAAGAAGAGCCTTGGTGATTCGTGTCACGATGAACATGCCAACTCTTGATGACGAGGCTGTTATTCCAACCGCAGGAGAAGGCCACCTCTCAAAGTGCTTCAGAACAACTAAAACACTGCAGTGGCAGGAAATTGCTGAACCCAATCCTCCAGTTACCGAGAACATAAAAAAGAAAAGCCGGAAATTGTCTGTGAACGAGCTTGCGCAAAAGCCGATCGATATTATTAGACACCCACTTATGGCTGTGATTCTAAATCCGAAACGTTTAATCAGACGAGTTGCCAATGATCCAAAAATATAGGAGAGTGCAATGTAGAGTGAACCAATCCAAGCTGAAATATCAGAATAGAAGTAAAATTAGTGCCCTGATTACCTCAATAGCTTTAGGTGAATCTCATGGATTGAACATCGTTTGTTTACGTTTGCAAAGACTGTCTTGTGGCAGTACAAAACACATAACGTTACATTTCCATAGAGCACCCCCCCTTGTTACACAATTCACTCTTTTTTTTCTCTCCCTCCCATCCCTAACCTTTTACGTGCCTCTTCCCCCGAGCTGCCCGAGGTTCTGCGACACACGTATTTCTAGTGTGTACTTTACTTACATACATACTTTATTACAACTAAAAAGATAAAAATTTACTACAATAAAAAACCTACTTCAAGAACGCTTAAAATATTTACAATAATATTTGTCAGGAGTATAATGTATTGATTAAATTAAAAACTTGTGCTTAAAAACTGTAATAAAAATATTCACACCAAAATTTAAATGACATGATAAAAACTCACGAATCTATAAAATCCTTGATCAGTTTACGTTTCACATTGAACTTAAAGGCAGATACTGATTCAAAAGTTTTAAGATGGCTATCCATGGAGTTCCAGATACTGACTATTCTATAATAAAACGTCCTCTGACCACTAGCAGACTTGAAAAGTGGAATGTTCAGCATCTCTGAACTTCTCGTGGCACGTCCGCTTATTTCTCCTTGCTTAATGAACTGGGAGAAAAGGTACTCCATCACGAGAGATTGCGAGAAGTAAGGCATTTAAAGGCCATGATAGCGTTAATAAAGTATAACTGAGTTGCTACTGGTAGCCATTTAAGCTCTTTTAAAACTGCTGTAATGTGATCATATTTGCGCGTACTGTCGCAATTCGAGCAGCAAAGTTCTGTAAAAACAGTTTGAAAAACTAGTTCTTTTCAGTAACATCAAGTGGTCTGAAATAAGAAAACAAGTGGACCAACGTTAAAAGGTGCATATTTGGGGTTTATACTTTATGTGGGAGTGTCATGGATGCATTTAACTCATTTAGATGAACTTTTTATTATAAAGCACTAAAAATTTGAATGTTCTGCTTTAAAATATAATTAAGTAAAATGTTATACCGAAGAATACCGAAAATAAGCCCCTCCATGTATAAGCCCCTCCAAATATAAGCCCCCCAAACCCGAGCGTAAAAAACCCTCCGTTAAATCGCCCCTCCATATATAAGCCCCCAAGGGCTTGTACCTGGAAAATTGCCCGCTAATACAAAGTAAAACAAAGCAAAAGCAATAAATTTACTTCCAGCTATAAGGCTAGCCCAACCGATTTTGAAACGCAAATTTCCGTCCGTAGATGAGCCCATCCGAATATAAGCCCATGAAAAAGGGCCTTTGAAAAATGTAAGCCCAGGGGCTTGTTTTCGGAATAATTATGGTATTTTTAAAAAAGTAATGTTCTAATTATTTAATCTGCTGCTTTTGTAGCTCTGTTTCTCGATTGCATAGTTAAACCATTTTAGTCTCAGTTTAACTATAGTACGGTTTCTTTTTCTTGAACGAAGAATTCCAAAAACTTGTGTTGCTCTTCATGCGCCTCTTCAACTAAATGCTCTTTCTTCAACAACCTGTTAAGGAATACAACAGTTGATCCGAAAACCATGATTCCCCCAGCAGTGTAAAAGGCAGGTCCGTACTCGTGGGCAGTGTCAGCTATGAAACCTGTGGGAGAGTTTGGAAATGTTAGAGACCTTTAGATTCAAGAAAGAGGACGATTACGAGTACGAGATTTGACTTTAAGTTTTTTCGCCTATTCTGCAAATATGGACTCTCCGGAAAGCTTCATTTTACCATTTTTCACTGCAAAACTTAACACTGTTACCTTTAGTGGAGGAGGTTACACCCTCTCCCGATCGCAAATTGATAAAACTTCTAACATTTGACAACTTGTTCCCGCCACTACGACATTCTCGTTAAAACTCGTAGTAGAGTGACGACGGCTACCACGTTTTCCCGCCAGAATGACGCTGGCTCACGCGCTTACACTACGTAGTATTGAGAAAATGTCGTACTCGTTGTCATACTCGTCTTAGAATCTAAAGCGCTCTATTAACTTTCAGAACCTGTTTTTCTTGTGCTTATAGTTATGTCAATGTTGCTAAGTGAGAACGTGCTTTACGTAAGAACAGTCGAGGCCTCCCGTAAGCAACCACCCAAAATGCAAAGACTGAGTGGTCGCTTACGGGAGGTGGTCATTTACAAGAATCGAACCACAAGGGGGACTCTTCTGAGAAGCGGTCCAGGCACATCTGCTTTATGGAATATAATTTATCGCATGCAATGTCTGAGTTAGGATATGTGTTGTTCCATGTTGTCACTAAAGTTATTCGATATTCTAAGTACCATAGTGCACACAGCGCAAATAGAGATTAGAGAAAGTGTCAAGTGGTCGCTTACAAAAGGTTAAAACCTGGAAAATCATTAATCGTCAGGCCCAAAAAGTGGTCGTGGTGTTCAAAAGTGTTTGGAATCTAAGCAGCGTCGGCGTTTCACTGCTATGTTATCATAGATAGTTTTTTTGCATCAGAAGACAAATTTTGTAGTAGTGTGAAGAAATTGTATTCAAAACCTGTCCTCATATATTAGCTATCGGTTGCTGCCGTTGCTGTATAGTGAAAACCTTACGGAAAGAAGGTCTGTCCTTGCACTTGCGGACGCAGTTACAAGGTGAGTTTTGCTTATTAGTAAACTCTTGAACGAAAAATAACTTACCTATAAAAACTGGACCTATGACGCTAGAAAGACCGACAAAAAGAGTAAGATAGCCCCAAGCTTGGTCAATTCTCTTCTGCCCGACACATGTCAACACTATCAGTGGCATTAAGCCGTATCGTCCACCATCCATGAGACCAAACATAACAGATAACACCACCACAGCTTTGTAAGATGTTGCCACGGGTAACAGAAACAAGCAGACGCCGAGACATGTCGTTGAAAATTGATAAAGATCAAAGATGTTGATGAATTTGAATTCACTTAGCTTGCAGAACAAGTGGTTGCCAAAGAAGTAAGAGATCGCCATGTAGGTGTATAGCATGGAGCCTCGTTCTATCGAAATGCCAAGTTCACTTTCACAAAATTTCAACTACAAGGGCAAAAACAACCAAATATTTCAGTAACTGGCGATTATATACCACTTACTAACCAAGAGTGAGGTCGTTACAGGCCGAAATCTCAGATATTGACCTAGGAATAGTGGTCAATATAGTCAATGTACGTTAGGGCTTGGCTTATTCCCACCCTACACCTTCCAACCCTAAGCGCAAGTCTTCTCTGGTAACAAAAATGTTTTCTAACTTAAGTAGCCTTAACGTTGCAGTTTTATAAAAGGTTTTCAGGCCGTGATGTAAGGGTAAAAGGGTTAGAGAATATTAGGGTAATTATTACAAAGCTTACAGGGATATGACGCCGGCAATTATCTCTTACTGCTTGAGTTCCTGTAGTCCCCTTTATATTGCGGGGTGGGAACCAAGAACCATATTCTAGGTGATTGTTTAGAGAAAGAATTAATGATTGTGTTATTTGTATAAAAAATATTCAATAAAGTTAAATCACAACTCACTAGGAAAATTGACAGCGTAAACACGACAAAGAACACCGGAGTAACGGAGACAAGATAGATGATGAAATGTCCATTTTGTAAAAGGCTTGGTGCAGGAATGACGTCGACATTTTTTTCGGATCCTTCTTCAATTCTTTTGACGTTACCTACGGTAACATCCGATTTTGCGTCGTAAGAGAACGCCAGTGGGGTTGCCAAGAAAAACAAGATGGCCCACCCTCTTAGGGCATTTTTAAATCCATAATTTGAAATGAGAACCTCTGTGATTTGTGTCACCACGAACATGCCTACACTCGATGACGACGCCGTTATTCCAACCGCAAGAGAACGCCACTTCACAAAGTGCCTAAGAACAACTAGAACACTGCAGTGGTAGGACATTGCTGAACCCAATCCTCCAGTTACAGAGAATAAAACAAGGAAAAACCAAAAATTGTCCACAAACGAGCTTGCACAAAAGCTGATCGAGATTATAAGACAGCCACTAATGGCTGTCATTTTAAATCCGAAACGTTTTATCAGGCGGGTTACCAATGGTCCAAAAATCCACGGGAGTGACATGTAGAGTGAACCGATCCAAGCTGAAAAATATCAAAACCGAAGTAAAGTCAATAATCAGAGCTCTAATTACTTCAACGATGTTAAACAGCCAGTAAAAGTCTTGCTAACAACGAGCTTGCGCAAAATTTGCACCAGGTTATAAGTCACCCACTAAATCCGAAACGTTGTATCAGGCTGGTTAATTATCAAATGGTCCAAAAATCCTGGCGAGTCGTTAGTGCCTTAAAGACTGTGTAGAATGAACTGTTTCATGGGTTAGTTGCGTTCTGTTTTACGATAAAGCTTACTTCATTCGTGAGACTAACATGGTCACTGTGGTTTGACTCACTGGCGCGGATCTCGTTAAGACTACATGTTCTAGATTCCGAACGTTTACTAAAATTTCTATGGAAAAACTCACCGTTTTTCTACGATCTGGCCAGCCGTTTGTATAGAATTTCTACATTATATATTTCCACTGCACACTGGTCTACTCTGTCAGTATCGCTGGGCAGTTCGTTAAGAGGTAAAATACTTCTAGGGGATTAACATGAGTCTTTCTGTTTAAAAAAAGAGCGGAAAAAAGTAAGGAACGCTGTCAGGCATGAAGTCGTAGCAAAATCCGTACCTGTGAGTCAAGTAACTTCAAATGCTCCTTAACCTCACGAAAGTTAAAGGCCTAGTTCGTACGTCATGCTCCTGCTGTGCAGGCCTTAATTCTTATTTCGGAGCGTCCGCGCACTCGCAGCGAAGCCCCATAGCTAAAGCAAATGAAAACCTATCGATGCTAGAAAGTTTTGTTATCACGTCAGTACTTCCCCTGGGGTAGGGGTAAATAAACTCAGTAGGGTATAGTAGGAAAGGGAGTCCCAACCATTTACGTTGTGTTTCGATTTGGCGCAAAATTAACCATTTTAGGGGCAACTGATTTTCGAGTACCTAGGAGTTTCAATTTGAAAGTAAGTGCTGACGTCAGGTCTGGAAGACAATACGGAGAATACAGTTTGAAAATAAATAAAGTAAAGAAAATGAAAATGACCCCTGGGAATTAGGGTGGGTAAGCCTTTTTAAAAGAAAAATATGTTATTTCCGTGTATTTGTTATGTATAAAAGGCGGAAGCCCATCAGTAGAGCCAGGGTGCTTTCTCTTACCCTCGTCTCATTCAAGTTCCCGGATGTACAATCACACTGTAGGCAGACCAGCATAGACCTTGTCTTCACACCAGAAAAAACACTGGGTCAAAGTTCATCTGCAATGTTGCTCTCGCCTAATTCATTTGACTCCCAATAGCCTGTTTCCGAGGCCAAAGACTTAGCCGTCATCTTAGAAAAGCGAACAATATCGTATCTTTCTGTCTCAGCCCGGATCAGGGTGATTGATCCGTTTAACCAAATGAAACGAGAATACAATACGATATTGGACAATGCAGACTCTGCGAATCGTAATAACTTTTTCCCATCTCAGAGCTTTACATGATTCTTTCCGGGAAACTTTAATTTCTCAAGGTGACCAATAACGAAATGTTAACTGCTAAACGGCACCGAAGACAGCTTTAGCCTCGCACTGATTTCAAATAACTGTCACTTGTGTTGAATAGAGAATTGTGGGTGGGATCGAAAAAAAACAGAGCGGCGAGGGAGTGGGGTTGGGTTGGGGGTTGAGGGAGATAGAAATTCGCGAAATTCTTTCTACAGCCACTTCTAGACAAATCGCTAACCACAAAATGAACAAAAAAAAGACATCAGCAAACAACTCAGTAAAGAAGCTACTAGACAGGGGAAGTTAAGAGAAACAAGAATCGCCGAAAGGCGATTTTTAACTGGGCTGCAAAGGGGCTATTTTTTCTGAGGGGAGGGGGCGGCTATACACACTCAGGCTACCATAAAACCTTGTCGGCAACCATTGCATGCAACAGAATCTCATGTGAGACTGAAACATAAACTCATTCAGAACATTGTATCCTTTTGAAAGACTTTCGTAACCAAAAAAAAAGAGTACCATTTTTAAGTGGGGGCTGTATAATAACTTTTAAATTCCACCATTATGAATAAAAATAAACAAGTTAGCCATTAATTCTAAACAGGAAACAATTTGCATTATTTCCACGCACCCCTCCCCCAATCCCTCTGTGCCCCAAAATATAGCGTGACAGTATAACGTGACTAATTTGACGTAACCGGAAATTCCAAAAATTGTTGTCCTTCTACGAGCATAAAATGCGACAGACTGAGCTGATTTACACTAGACAGAAATATTGTATTGTATGAAAACCAGAAGTATACTAAAACAGACAGTTAACTGCCCATTGATCCCGCCTGATCCAGCAGGGGCCTCACTGACTGCACGGAGACTTTACTGCGCTTTTCACAAACATGCGAACTCTAAAGTTCAAAAGCGACCTTCAGAATTGTGTTTATCGCTGCCGTCAATCATAATTACGATCACAAGCAACGAACCTTGAAACAGAGAAACACACAAAACGGATCGAAATCCACAAATCACAAACCATGACCTTTTGAACCCGTGAAGTAAAGTTTTGTTTCCTAAGAGGTCCGTTAAGATGATTGACAGCAGCGAAAAACGCAATCGTCGGTTGGGTTCTGAACTCCAGAATTCGCATGTTTGTGAAAAGTGCGATCCTAATTTGCGGTCCACAGTCTACATGAAAACGCACTATTTTTTCCACAAGATGAAAAGTATTCAGTTTTAAGATTTTCCTCACGGTATTTTTCTCTAACTTAAAGGAATAAAATCCTTTGCATTTTGAGACCTAAAAAAGTTTAAAGATTTCTCGCTCGCATGTTGCGTTCACCAGCACGCACTTCAAACAATAGATGAAACGATCGATAACATATTTTTTACCTGATACCGATGTGAGTTAAAAATTCGCTCCAGTTCTGTTTGTCTCACCCAAGACTAACTTTTCTTCATGGAAACTATGCCGCTTTATAACTCGTCCGAGGTTTTTGTGCCAGCTAAACAATATGGAATCACTATTCACAGTGACTCCTTGGATATTAAAAAGACTGAACGTGACGCACTATTATGCCTTTGTTTACTCCTGATCACATCTTCAAGCGAAGTCTCTCTTTTCAAGCGATTCATCTCAATGCACAATAATTGACCCTTATATTAGTTAAAATCCTATGGTTCATTTATATTAATGCCGTTTTTGCCCCTCGCATTGACTGTGTTCGTTCGTATTCAAAACACCTTTACGAAAATAAAGGTCGTATAAGTCATGTGTGTTATGTTTCGAGATAAATGGATTATACGCTTTTTTAAGTTTCCATTTTGCGGTGACTTCAGTTTACATCTCCATAAAATGGTAAAAGAAATATCAAAAACATCACAAGAGCTGAAAATTTTCAAAGGCATGTTTCTGAAACTCGCTAATGCTGACATCAATATAGCGTGCTTGCTGAATGGGCGAAAACACAGAATTGTGATCACAAGATCTTGCACAAATTTAATGACAAAAGCTTAGCAAGATACAGATACAAACAAAAGCAAACCCCTTGAAACCTCGACGTGGGCTACACTTGTATGCTCTACTCAGTCACCAAACCTTGTCAGTAATAGCTCCTATTTTCCTTAAGTCGCTCTCTGTGAAGCTCCCGGATGGGATGTCCCGGAGAAGCTTTAAACTTATGTGCGAAATTCTCAGAGTTCCTGTTTTTGTCCGTGTCTTCTTTATCCTCAGTATCCGAAATTTAGATCTCCAAAGTGGCGTGTGTTGCATTAAATAGAAGGAAATATTTAAACGAAAAGCCAGTCTTCTAACATGGCAAAGTTGTCACGTCTCTCGCTTATGGACGTGCCTCACATCAGGATTCATCTGCCATTCATCGGCAACTGAGTTGTTCGCTTCACTGACTATGACGGCTTACAATCAAGTCTTCAGCCATAGTGTCGTCAACTGGTGAAATACTTTGCTCATAAATTGTGCTTCTTAATTGCTCATGTACTACATCGATCGATAGTTCACGAAGCAGCCACGGCGTTCCAAACCTGACGCTCACAGTCATCTTTTCAGTCTTTTAGTATGAACCTACCGTGAACGGCGTGTCGGCTTGAATGCAACGCGAGCATTTCTCTGAGTTTCCCAGCGCCAACATCATCTAACTGACTTAAACTCGAACAATAAAAAAATTATAGAGTTACTCCCATGGTCGAATAGCTTCGAACAACGCAGCCTTCTTCAGGTTCGCAACGCCTTGTGGGTTTTTCGGGGGGAGGGCACACAAGGTACAAAAAGTATCCGTGCAAGGGTTCATGCAAGAGAAAACCCTATGAAACCATTTGTGCGAACATCGTTTCTACGTACCAGACCCTCGTGTTTTCCCTCCCCCGGATGACCACTTTGTGACACCGACAACCGAAAACCCATTTTATGACTGGGCCGCACAGGCAGCCTAGTAATTACAAAATGTTTGCTAACCCGGTTTTCATATTAGGTAGATATATAATTCTCAGTAAAATTTGACGACTTTGTGACTTTGCGTTAATCACTTTCAACCTTAACATCCCTTTTTAAGGCGTTCTTTTTAGCTGTGTGGACGCCTCTTTTTTTCTGGTCCTAGTCAAAATTTGAAAAAACCGAGGATATAGGGTCTATTCTGCTCGACAAAAGCACGGCAGAAGCACGACGTCTGAATCAAAGTTTTGAATTTGGTTCGGGCAAAGCAATCAAGTTCGACAACGTCTGCCGCGCTACACGATTCTGGCACCTGACTGATTCAAACGTTGAGCTTAATATGACCTAATTTCTAGTAAATTTTGAGACTGAAGCTGTTTTCGAAAATGTATAAATATGATCCAAACGTCTGAATTAAAGTCGTCCTTCTGTTGAACCCAATTACAATACGAATAGCAAGGCAGAAGCACAAATCATAAACGTATTGGGCCTTGGTGGCCAGCATCATTTCAAACCATTGATCCTTCCAATATTTTTAAATCTGTTTAAGACTAGACTTTTCTAGGTGTTTAGATAGAGGAGAGAGCATGAAAAATAGAGCGA